CTCACCTCTCCCTCTGTCACTACCACAACATCATTATCACAAAGATCAAGGCCATTGATTCTCAGCTCCCACTAGCTCATTTGGCATCACTTCCACTGATGCTCCCATCCTGCATCACTTTCAGGTTTCTCTCCCATCTCCACTTTCTCAGGTCCATGAAATCCACTGCAGTTCCCTCGATCCCATTCGCCTTAACTGATCTCCTGGCATCCTCTCCTATCCTTCATGTTAACTAACCTTGTAATTCCCTCTTCAGCCATTGTCATCACGTTCTCTTCGTAAAAACCCTCTGCCCCAATGGCTGTACAGAGTCACCCCACCCTTCTCCTCTAGCCTACCCCTTCCAAAATCCTAAAACGCGTTGCTACCTTTCAAATCCATTCCCTTTACTTTCAGGACTTCCACATCCAATTCACTGCAAGCAGGTTTCTTTCCCAACTATAGAACTGAAACAGTTCTCAAAGTCACATCTGGTTATGACTGCGACAAAGATAAATTGCTCATCCTTCTCCTTCTTGACCTGTTCATAGACCTTAACGTGCCAACCGCAACATCATCCTCCAATACTTCTCTATTATCTAGATATTTTCCCAATCACCCTGTCCAGAGATGTTATGATGCATCTCTGGAGCAGGTGGCACTTGAACCTGGGCCTCCTGGTCCATGGTAGGGACACTACCACCAGCATCCTGTCTCTACTATCAATCCAGTTGGGTGAGACTGCACACACCTGGTTGCATTCTTGTCTAGATAGAAAATGTTCATTGCTATACTGCTTTATTGTGATATTATCCAAGCTACAGTGCATGTTTTCGTATGTACGTTACAGTCATACCTCATCAACACCACTCAGGCCTCCTCTACTCTCAGTACATTATCTGACATTCAGTGGGTGGATGAGCAGAAATGTCCTCCAACCAAGTATTGGAAAGACTGAAGCCATTGCTTTTGATCACCCACTCCACATCTATTCCCTCACTCCCAACCACAGTCCAAGCTTCAACAAAGTTATGAAGAGACTGGTGGTCCTATTCGATCTTGATAGGAGTTCCTGACCTCAATTTAGCTCTCTAATACTAAGAGTCTATTTCCCACAGACTGCAGTGGTTCAGAAAGACAGCTCATCACTACTTTTTGATTAGATTTGATTTGATTTATTGTCATGTGTATTTATTACAAATACAGTGAAAATCGTTGCTTAGTGTTGTCACTCTCTGGCACTATCTTAAAACACAGAAAATGAACCAATACTTGGACTATAGAGCCAGAAAAATAAAACAATATAAAGTTCATTTTATAGTCTTGTAAAGTTAGATGGTCTTTGGATTAACTACCGCTTCTGACTCAGCCATGGGCCTGGATCCAGGCTCCTCCACCCTGAAGCCTCAGTTTTCTGCTGCTAAATCAAAGTAACTGCCATAACCACGCATCACCACACCACAGCCGCTGAAACACAGTTGCCACTCATTGTGCATCCATCAACATGGCTGCCATGATTGGACACTGGGCCAACCTCACAGAAGCAGCTGTTGCTGCAGGGACCCACGCTGGGACCAAACTCGCCCTCAGGTGCTCAGGCCTAGAGCCTGAGCCTAAGCCCAAGCCCAGCCTGCAAGTCTACCCAGGATGGTGATTAAGCCTGGGACCTGCTCCCCGCTCTCTAGGAGACCTGGGGCTAGCAATACTGCCACCGCCAGGCACCTTCTCATTTCACATTTACTAGGCCTCGCTGCTCCTTGGGCCTCGTGCTGCCATCTTTGTCCGTTGTTCCACGCAGGGCCTGCTCTCACTAATACCTTTTCAGCTCGGTTACAACAGTAAGGTAAAGGACTTTAAAGAAAATACGAAGAGAAAAGTAAAAAGAAAAATGAAAAGTGTAGAAGCCCTGGGCTCAGTAACCCAACTGCTGCCATCCTGGATTTGGAGAAACCTGTCATAGGAAGGATATGATTAAACCGGAGATGGTTCAGAAAAGATTTACCAGGATTTTGCCGGGAATATTGTGTTTTTCAGTTATAAGGAGAGGCTGGATAATCTGAGACTATTTTCAGTGGCGCATTGGAGGTTGACGGGTGACCTTATAGAGGTTTATAAAATCATGAGAGGCATAGATAAGGTGAATGGTAGGTGTCTTTTCCCTAGGCTGGGGCATTTCAAGACTTGGGCATATTTTTAAGGTGATTTAGAAAAGACATGAGGGGCAACTTTTAAAAAAAAAGTCAGTAGTTCGTGTGTGGAATGAGGAAGTGGTGGATGCAGGTACAGTTACAACGTTTAAAAGACACAAGTACAGGAATAAGAAATGTTTGGAGGGATATGGACCAAGCCCAGGCAAGTGGGACTAGTTTAGTTTGGGATTATGGTCGGAATGGACTGGTTGGATCAAAGCATCTGTTCCCATGCAGTATGAATGCATATTGGCTGCCATTCCATTCATTGGAAAACCAGATCCTGCAGCATCTTATTCAGTGTCTGAGCACTGCTCAAGCGCAACTAGGGATGTGCAATAAAATGCTTCCTTATCAGGGATGCCCACATCCCACAAATGAATAAAATAAGCACGTTTAAAATAGGAGATCACCCACATCTCTGCTCCTTCCCCTGCCCTCTGTCCCTCATTGGCTCCCAGATAACACACATCTAGCCATTGAAACACTCATCCTGGTTTTCAAACTGTAGCCTTGCTCCTCCCAGGCTCTGCAACTTCCTTTAACCTTCTCGCATTTCTGGCACTTTATACATTCCGAATTTTAAACTGCTCCACCACATTGAGACAGCTGAAGGCATGGCCAGTCTCTTACTCTGCAATACCATTTCCCCTTCTCGCCTTCTCCTTAAAGATGTTTTTTCAAATACAGTCAGAGTCACAGATGTGCCAGCAAGGAAAAAGACCCTTTTGTCCAACTTGTCCATGCCGACTGGATATCCTAAATTAATCGAGTCCCATTTACCAGCATTTGGCCCACATCCCTCTAACCCCTTCCTATTCGTACACTCATCCAGATGCCATTTAAAAGTTGTAATTGTGCCAGCCTCCACCACTTCCTCTGGCAGCTCATTCCATACATCACCTTCTGCATCTTAGTTCCCTTTTTAAATCTTTTCCATCTCACCTTAAACCTACGCCCTCTAGATTTGGACACCCCAGCCTGGGGAAAAGATCTTGGCTATTCACCTTATCCATGGCCCTCATGATTTTATGAGCCTCTCTAAGGTCACTCCTCAGCCTCCTACACTACAGGGAACATAGCCCCCGTCTATTCAATCTCTCCCTAGAGCTCAAACCCTCCAACATCTCATTGCTTCACCAAGTTCTTGATCGTGGAATCACAGGATCCTACACTGTGGAAGCATTCAGCCCAGCGAGTCCACACTGACCCTCCCAAGAACGTCCCATGCAGACCCACACCCCTCCCCCCACTGTAACCCTGCATTCCCCCTGGCTAACCCACCTAGCCTGCACATCCCTAGGCACTACGGCTATGCTAAGTTTGACCATCTTTGCTAACCTGCACATCTTTGGGTTCTGTGAGGAAACCCATGCAGAATGTTTATGTGGAGTTTGCGTAGTCACCCGAGGGTGGAATCAAACCTGGGTCCCAGTGCTGTGAAGCAGCAGTGCTAACCATTGAGCCACTGTATCACACCTCATCCCACACGCTAGTTCCTCATCTGGCTGACTTCCTACTTTCTTTGATAATGCTCCTGCAAAGCATCTTCAGACTCTTACTACTTTGAGGATGTTACCAATTATTTCACAGGGTTCCTATGCCAACACGAATGAATAAATAAAACCCATCGAAAATATTCTGAGAATAAAGATCTAGATAATCGAGAATAGTCATCTAAAAACCATCCAATAAACAGCCTTCATGAGAATCAACTCCAAAATTGCATAAACTTATACAAAGTAGATGTTGACCTGTTGGAAAGGCACCTCTTATTTCAGCTCAAAAATACTTTGCAGAAAGGTCAAACTAATTAAATGCCTCTTTGTATAGTGGTTTAGGAGCTCGGTCTATAGGAGGGGAAACCAGGTTAAATACTTTGCAATGCACACTGATCAAACAGCAACAGCAGTAAAACATGGAATTAAACTAAAAATCATGTTATGACAAGACCACATTTAATTTTCACTGGCCCTCGTTACAAAGGTTAAAGGTTAGCTTAAAAATTCTTAAGGAATTCCTAGGCCAAGTCTGGTCTAAATTTTGGTTCAAACTTTAGTGGGCAGTTATCAAAAGAGATCAGGGGTGAGGAAAATAACTGGAATTATGCAAAAGTCAGGCTAAAGAAGGGACATTTCCAGTGGTTTAACATGGAATTGTAGACAAAATCAAAAAGATGCTTTATACATTTTAAAACAAACATAATAATTCCAAAGCATTGGAAAATACATAATTGAGACTAGATAGCATCAGTGTGGCACCGATTAAACTAGGTTCCATTCTGACTTTCAGAGATAGTAGGCTGCAGATGCTGGAGAATCTGAGATAACAAGGTGTAGAGCTGGATGACCACAGCAGGCCAAGCAGCATCAGAGGAGCAGGAAGGCTGACTTTTCGGGCCTAGACCCCCTTCCTGAAAAAGGGTCTAGGCCCGAAACATCAGCCTTCCTGCTCCTCTGATGCTGCTTGGCCTGCTCTCCATTCTGACCTTGCTGAGTCAGAAGGCTTTCAGTTCAAATCCCACTCCAGAACCAACAAAGATTGAAGACTGATGTTCCCTCAGCATTCCACTAGAACATGTCTCTCGGACATGAAAGTTAAATGTAAAGTCACACCAGACTATAGGGCTGCTCTCTGAGAGAGGGGGGAGGAGGGAGAGAGGTGAGGAGACTGCTTCATGGTAACCTCAGCCAGTGCAGAAATTGACCCCACGCTGTTAGCATCATACTGCATCGAAAAAACCAGGCAACTGAGCTAAACAATCCCCAGATTACTGGCACTCCTTTTTGAAAGAAAGCAGGACAGGGGATCAGATAGCCTGATCTGTATATATTAGATTAGATTAGGTTTTATTGACACATGTACTCAAGCACAGGGATACAGGAGTGCAGTCAAAAGTTTACAGTGTCACCATCTTAAGTAGAAAAATAAAGAAATAAATTAAAAGTTCAATATTACTTAAGGTAACAAGGTGCAGAGCTGGATGAACACAGCAGGCCAAGCAGCATCATAGAAGCAGGATTGCTGACGTTTCGGGCCTAGACCCTTCATCAGGACGTTTCTGGTCAGTATTAGAAAAAAAAAGGTCATAAGCTTCAAGTCCTTCTTTAGTCACGAGCCTGCGGTCACTGCACACTGGGCTTTCCCCAGGGGGGCTCGATCTCTTGATCCCCACGTCTTTCCGCTGACCAGCATCCAGGTTCACCAGCCACCCCGCCACGGTCCCGTTCTGGGCCTCCAGCCACTTCTGCGATGCCACCTACTACCGGAGTCTTGCCCAGGCACACCAACCACTTTGCGGCCGACTGCTAAGACCCATAGCCGCTGCCGTCGCCTCCGCTGCTTCCATGTCGAGGAAAACAACAAAAGAAAAAGGAGAAAAAAAAGGAAAAAAAAAAAACAAGTGAGAAAAGAAAGAAAAGCAGTCAGAGCGGACAGCTCCGCTTGGGAAGACTACTCTCCATCACAAAGTAATATAATGCAGTCATCATCACATTGCTAGTGCAGTGTACAAATGAACTGCCATGCCTCTTACATTACTCAGTGACCCGAAGCTGCATGAAGTGTTTCCCTGGCTGCTCAGAGCTTTGGGACAGTCGCAGGTCGTGAAAGGAACTTCCCAAAAAAAACTGCAAGCTCTTTTGTCCTTTACATAACACCTGTCAACAGCACAAATTGGGATTGCTGCATCCCAGAGGGTTAAAAAAAAATAAACTTAATGCCTGCACTACAATCAATATCTGAAAGCTCAAAAGATTGGACAAACACGGGATTGAACAAGACAGCAGCATCCCTTTAAAGTCTGCCAACATCATAGAATCCAAATGCCAATAACCTTTAGAATGAACGCAAAGCAATTGCAGATGTTGGAAATCTGAAATAAGAACAGAAAAAAAAACACAACTGGAAATACTCAGCTGGGAAGAGAGAGAGAGAGGAACAGATTTAAAAAGATTTCAGATCACTGACTTTACACTGCAACAAGTCGCAGTCCTGAAATATTAACGGTCGCCTAAATGCTTTTAGTTTTGGGAAGGAGGTAAACGGCCCTGCCACCAGAGCTGAAAGCCAGAGACAGAACCACAACAACAGGATCCTGAAGCGGTGTTTTTTCAGCAGTGCCCAGTTTATGGGGCATCACGGGGGCTCGCCTTGCAACAGAACTGTCAATTAAAGCTGTCAGCTCAGAGAGGCCAATAAACTTACAACCTTGGCAGTGGCACTGCTAGCAGGGGATGATGGGTAGGGGGTACCCATTTCCTGGTCATCTACAAAGGAGATGCCAGGGTCAGGGCAATAGGCTGCAATGTCTTGGGTGAGGGTAGATGATATTCCAGCAATGGGCATGAGGGCTGGGCGTTGTTAGGTAGGATTGTGCCTTGCTTGGCCTCATTGGGTGTCCAAAGGACATGCCCTCTCCCAATTTTGATAAACAAGGCCACCAGGGTTAGGCAGACCACCACTACATGAAAGAGTAGGCTCTTCCCAATGGGGGTAAAACATTGACTAAGGCAGGAGGTAGCCCTCAACTGGGCATTTGATTAGCCCATTTGACTGCCAGGTGGGTAGCTGCATGGCCAAGCATCCCATTACTGGCATGGCAGCTTCCCCCCTTGTGATGCCACCTACTACTATAGCCTCCCCTCTGGTCTCCTAGGTAACCACAAACAAGCCAGAACATTCTTCCCTCTTCTTTCCCATCTGTTTTTCCGTTGCTGAGTATTTTAACCGTTAGACCAAGGTCAGTAAAGCTCAGGATTATCCTCGACCCCAGTAAATATCACTGGTAGGAAATATGCCAAGAATTAAGTGGGGAGAATTTCAGGAAAAGGAAAAAAAAAGAGGAAAATAAGGACAGATTGAAATTGGACAATAAAATGTCAGCCTCGCCAGCAACACAGCCCAAAATTTAATTTTAAAATGTGAATACAGCTGGAGCTAATCCTGCCTAGCTAAATTCTTAATTGGAACTGTCCAAAAAGCCTTGGAGTCTTCATTGTGTCAACATGTCTTTTTTAAAAACAGCAGCCCCTCCTTAAAGTCTCAGTTTATTTTAGAACAGAAAACCCAGAGGTGAACTGGGGATTAAGTCAAAAAGAAAACAGAAGAGGCGTAGAGAAGTCATGAGAGGTGGGAACGGGAGCTCCTAAGGGTGCAACCTCACAAAATAGTGTTCCCAACCTACAGTTAGGGCAGGAGTAATATGACTGGCTAGAATTGTGGTGAGTGTGTTGTGGAACAGAAACAAAACATAGCAGAGGAATTAAAGCATGATTTTAGATCACCCCCAGAGACAGTAATAATTTTTCAAAAATCCACATTTTTAAAACAAAAATATGAAGTATTTAAGGAATGGTTTAGAATTTAACAAGGTAGCTTAAATTAAAAACAAAAAAAACATGCAATTGATGAATAGCTCAATGTTTTTAAAACTGTATGTAAAAACAAAAGGATCAAATGTTGGAAAGATAGCCAGAACATTACAGTATAATTCGCTGAGCTTTAATCAAAAAAACTTTACACCGGTCAGACTATATTTGGGAATGTTTGACAGGCATTCCTTAACATCCGCCTGCTCAATTCCAAACCTTCAGCTGAAACACCGTTTTACACCCTAACCATGGCTCCTGCTTTCTGAAGTCACAGAGCAGACAAGAGAATGCTCCATTACCCCAGTGACGTTTACAATCACAGCTGGAGGTAAGAGTGAATTTTTAAAACAGCAGATAACCCCACGTGACTGCTCAGAGACAGGGAGCGTGTGGATCACCAGTTGACCTGCTGTCTGTATGCCAGGTCTTGAGTGTTTTCTGGCCAATTATTCAATTCCCTGTTCTTGCCCTTTGCACATTGCAAATTCCAACTTCGCCAGCACCCCATTAACAACAAGTCTGGTGAATTTATACTCAGACCAATAACACGGGGAGATTCTTTCAGAAATAGGTACAATTATAATCCTAAAGGTAGATAGTTATATGTTTTCTTCTCTCTCCAAATGGGCGATTTGATGAATACCTGCTGTTTCAGAGCAATAGGCCTTCCCCGCAGTATAAACAGATAGCTACAGACTGCCAAGTGATTGAAGCATGGCAAGTTTTATGCTTTAAAATGTTTATTATCCACAAGAAGTCCTGATGCCAAAAAAGCAGCCATGACAACAGTTTAGAGAAGTCCCAGGCAATTGGAAATCTGCCAGTGTAACACCTTCACTTGGAAAAGGAGGCAAGAAAAGGTAACTACAGACCTGTTAGATTAACATCTGTCATTCGGAACATGTTAATATCTATTATTACATCCTTTTATAGAATGCCTACAAATACATTTTATAATCATGCAGTCAGCATCGCCTCATGAAAAGGAAATCATCCCTGACAAATTGACTAGAATTTGTTGAGGAAGCAACAAGCAGGATAAAGGGAATGCTTTGGACATCTAAAAGAGCATTTGACAAGCTACTTTAAGTAGCCTTATGCGTAGCAAGAGCCTATGCTATTGAAGGTTGTATATTAGCCTAGATTCTTGTCGTGCATTGGTTGTGTCCCTACTCCTGGGCTAGGTTCAAGTCCCACCTGCTCCAGAGGTGGGTAATATCATCTCTGCTCAGGTAAATTAGAAAATTAAAGGAAAAGATGGGATTGGTTAATTAGTAGCCAGTTGAAATAAAGGGGACCATTTTGAGGAGGACCCCCTGGAACACAGCCACAGAGATCAGTGCTGTGGCCACAATAGATATGAATGACTTGGATGAGTAAATGTAGTACAGCCAAATTTGCTGCAGGTTGGGGAGGCACAGGGAAGGCAAGTTGACAGACAGACAGATTAAGGGAGTGGGCAAAATTTTGGCAGATGGAATATTATGGGAAAGTGAGGTAAGGCACTTTGGCAGGAAGAGGAGCTTAATATTACTTAAAACGGAGAAAATTTGCAGAGGGCAGAAGCACAGAATGGTTTAGGAATCTTCGTGCATGAATCACAAAAGCTAGCTTCCAAGTTCGGCAGGTAATCAGAACAGCAAAATGGAATGTTGGCCTTTACTTCAAAGGGGAACAGGGAATAAAATTAAGGGAGTTTTGTTAAAACTATACATGATGCAAGTTAGACCACATCCAGAATACAGTGAATAGTTTTGGCCCCTTATCTGAAGGAAGGGACACTGGCAGTACAGGCAACCCAGAGAAAAGGCACTAGACTGATTCAGATTATGAAGGGATTTTCACGAGAGGAAAAAATAATTTTGGTCTGTACCATTGGCGATTAAATAAAGTTACCTCTCTTCTAGAGAAAAAAAATAAGATTCTTAGACAACTTGACAGAGTAGATATGGAGAGGTTGTTTTCCCTTAGGCAAAAAAAAAGTGTACAGGAGCAGACAACCTAATCTCAAAAGTAAGGGGTTGTCTATTTAAGGCATTCAAAAGCTTTTCCAAGGATAGTGAATCTGTGGAATTCTTTACCATGTTAGACTGGATCATCACGTATTCCAGGCTCAGAGAGCAAAGTGAGCACTAGAGAAATCAAGCAGTATGGAGTAAAGGCAGGAAAAACTGGACCGGAGGATTATCAGATTAACCATGATCTCATTGCATCTACTCTGCCTTTCAATAGACTAATAAGATACAAGGGCAGAAGTAGCCTAAGTCAACTAACCCAAGCTAATAAACATGGGCATGAGGATGAGTGAATTAATTCTAAACTTGACAAATTAGTTTTTCTTCAATTCTTTAATGATTTGACAGAGACATAAATCTTTGAAGTTAACAATGTTTTGACAGCTCACATAAATAGACTGTTGAAAGGATTGAGGAACAAAGGTTTGATCTGGGACATTCATTTTTGATGTAGGCAGTGAGAATGTGAAAAAGGAGAATTTTTAAAAAACACATTTGCTTAGAGTTGGAAAGATAAAAGCAGCTTTAGGATTTTTAAAGTTTTCTGTGTCCTCTGTAGATACATTAGCTTAGTGGTTCTGAGGTAACAAAGTGGAGAAACCCAATAGGTTTGGCAGTATCTGTGACAAGAGAAACAGTTAATAGACTGGTAGGACTCCTTTACAACTGAAGTGGAAATGTGGACAGATATGCTACACCTATTTAGGTGTCACTGACCTAGAAATTCAGAGGCCAGACTGCTCACAGCTAAGTTCAAACTCTGAAGTCTTTGGGGACCTGCAATACAACTCTAATAAAAATCTGGGCAAGACTTCCAAAAACCCACCTGGTTCATTAATGTCCTTAAGGCAGCAGGGGGTGGGGTGGGATGGGAACAGAACATCCTTAGCTCCTCTGATCCAAATGTGACATTTAACAGCTTTGAAGCAGCTTAAATGTTATCTGGATGTTGGTAGTCAGTGTGCTTGAATGGTCATGCTTCTGAATGTAGAAGGGAGATGGTTAGGTTCTGGCCCTCAAAAGTGGAACAAAACGCACATTAGTCTAAAGCTGCATATTGGCTGGGTCCTGCCGCATTGACACTCCTACAGGAGTGTCATAGTGTCACTGGGCTGGTAATTTAGAACCCTAAGCTAATGGCCTAAAGACATGACTTTCCAAATCACTACGCTATTAAACCAAAATTTCATTATCTGCCACTCTGGGATTTTAAAAAATCTAAAAAGGCAACCATGTAACCATTGCCAGTTGTTGGAAAAAAACCACCTGCTTCATTAACATTCTTATCGGTCTGGCTGACACACAACTCAGACCCACAGCAATGTGTTTAATTCTTAACAGTCCTCTGGGCAGTTAGGAATGGACAATAAATGATAGTCCCATGTCACCTACATCCTTACCATGTATCTTAAATATTTGCAAATGGTTTAGGAAACTGCAATTTAACACCACACTTATCCAAGAGAAGGTGTTTGATGAAGGAGCTGCAGATGGTTGGGGCTAAAGCATTATGCTGAGGAATTACTGCAGGGATGTCTTGGGGCTTGATGATCGACCTCCAAACAAACTCTTCATACGGAGGTATTAGACTCCAATCCATGGAGAGTTTGCACCAATTCCCACTGATGTCAACTTTACTGGAGCTCTTTCGACATTAAGTTCAATCATCAATAATTCACTAGTGCTATTAAACTCGTGTAAGTGTTGGACTCCAACAGAATCATCTCCAAGTTCTAACTCGGGCACTACAGAGCATTCAAGAATGTTGCTTGCCCAATTTTTATTCCCTGACAGAAGGCAGCACCAACTTGTTGCATTATCAAAGAGTTAGAATGGAAGACATGGTCAATTCCATGGATATTCCTGCAGGTTTCATTACGAAGCCACATAGAACAGTCAAGCCAGATAATATCTGAAGTACAACTGCACTGCCTAGCTGCAGATACCAGATTCTAATCTTGTACAGCCCTTAGGATTGAAGATGGTTAGCTTTTCACTCCTGGGAGATGAGTTCTATGCTGCTTGTCAGGTGCCAGACTATCTGCAGACTGTATGACATGCCAGACAAAGCCAACAGACATGGGTCTTACTCAGTCACACTGCCCACTTCCCTGACCATGCAGATCAAAGACTCCTTTTGACATGTCACTGAGAGATGGAGAATCAGAATTTAAAAATTAGGAAGAGTTAGGAAAATATGGGATAGATGTAGACTCGTGTACTTCATTTGAATTTGGAGTGGAATCCATCCTTTTGAAAAATGGTGACACAGAAGGAAACAAGGAGATATTCACACAGTCAGACGCAAACATTTAAAGTAAAACATTAAGTGACTTGGAATGGGGCCAAAGATCGCTAATCAGTCGAGTTGCTGCTTCTAGATGGAAAAAGGGCTCCTGCACCTTTTAGGTATGACTGACTTATGCAGGAAAAAGTGCACAAGTCATCGGGCCCATTTTACTCTTTGACCTGCCCAGCTTTTTGATACTCAATTGCAAAGGCAGGAAGAGATGTCCCAATATTAAGTGTAATTTTGCCATATTTTCAGTCCAGAATATAAAACAAGTGAGTTAGGATTTGGTGGATTTGATACATTGATCAAGATATGGGCTTTGAGTGACTCAAACTGCTAAATGCATTGTCAATGTGCAAGGTTAACCCAATTCCTTTATACAAAATTACCACCTTGGGATGTAGATTTAATTGGAGGAATTGAAGCTACTGAAGACCATTTGAGAATAAGGAAACACCTCACTGTTTGGAGATCTTTGCAAATACTAAACTTAAAATATCAAAGCTTTGACTTCGTCAGGCAACTTAATTATTCTGCATTATGCTTATCATATTTAAGCAATTCTACACACTGGATTCCTCCAGTTGATAAAAAGGGTTCTTATAAACGTATACTCATTGGGTGGGGAGGACAGGCAGTATCAAGTAGAAATAAAAAAGTGCAGAAAAGACAATAGTTTTTACAGGTTGCTCAAACATCTTAAGATGCAAGTGACTATGCTGTACACACAACTGTTTCACTCAGTTTGCATTCAAGAATGAATCAGATTTATGAACCTTTAAAATTAAAAAAAGGTAGAGAATTGCAAGTAAATCTTCAGAAGGGAAACGGAATAACTTGGAAACTTACGATCTCAGGCTTCAGCAAATTAAGTATCTCAACTGACGAGGTAGATATAGGGTCTAAAATTAGTTAGAAAAGTTCAGTGAGTGTCTTGAGAGTGAAGCAGAAATCCAATGCTTACAATATTGAGATCAGTCAAGCTATTTGTCCCAATTGCTCTCTGCCAAGCCTATTCAGCCCTTACTCCATCTGTGTCCACCCAGTCTCATCTAGCTTCTCTTTAACATCAATACTAAAATCACCTCAACTGCTCAATCCCATAAGTAGATATTGCCACTAAATTTCTTACGGGATTTAGCAGTAAGTCATGGGCTCTGGCTTTGGACACCCATAATTAGAAATGTCCTTCTCTACAGCTAACTTATCAAAACCCTCAAAGCTTGCCACAAACCTGGCTCTCACTTCAGTAGCAAAACACTCCAAGCTGTTCAAATCTTTCAACTGCTGTGCCCCCCTCCCAACTCAATTTGAATCCCTTACTGAGCCCTCAGTTCATTCACTTTGAGCAGAGTCAGAAAGCTGAACTATCTGCACGATGAAGCAAAGATGCACTTTTCTGGGTTATGAGGAAGGGTCACTCAACCTCTGCACAAATGCTGCCAGACCTGCTGAGCTTTTCCAGCAATGGTGTTTTTGTTTGATTTCCAGCATCCACAGTTCTTTCAGTTTTTTCTTATTAAAGATGCACTATTGTTGGACTTGCACATGGATAAACCCACTATTGGTTAACCAGACATCACCTCTTAACCCCAATGGGCAATAGAAAAGATCTCAAGGTGGTGACTTGGACCCTAAAGACTCAACAGTGCATAGTAGTGGTCACTTTACATACCGTAACATTTAAAATGCTAGCAAGATGTAGCTTCTGCCCCATGCTGAGAGATCAACTGAAGTTTGCAAACCATTTCAAAAGGAAAATGGAGACAGATGTGGAAAAACTCTGCATGCAATGGAGATGTAACTGAAAGGTGAAGTTGCAACCTGGGATTCCTATTGAACTTTAAGTGTGTGCAGAGCAAGTCAATGCCAATAGGATGTTGAACACTGTAGCCCAAACAATCTAATATAGCCAGCTGGTAGAGATCAACCTATGGTTCATTCCAGTCAGATCACAGCTTGATTGAGTTATTGACTTTGAGCTGCCAAGAAACAAGAGCTTGCTCACTCAGGTGAGGGTACTTCAGAGTCTTGGTCTGCGATGGAGGTTTTGAAGGATGATCTCAAAAGGGATACTGCATTAAGCGCAGAAGTAGTTAACTCAAGACAAAAACCAAAAAGAGCTGCAGATGCTGTAAATCAAACAAAAACAGAATTTCCCACAAAAAAGAAGTGTTCCGAGGAAGGGTCACCAGACCCAAAAATGTTAATCCTGATCTCTCTTCACAGATGTTGACAGACCTGCTGAGCTTTTCCAGCAATCTCTATTTTTGTAACTCAATACATAACTTGCACACCAAATCACCCAAGAATACAAAGCAAAAATATGTAGCCTGGAGTTAATTTCATTTTCAATTAATTGCACAATGACCAGCAAGAAAGACATGTTTTAATAGCAGAAGCATGTATTATTTAGTTTAGTGTTTGATTGTACAGTTAGGGGTTAGGAACAGAACTCATCCCTTTATCACCTCAAGCCTATGCAGTAAGATCACGGCAGATATCCTGTGCTCAGAGCCCCACATTCCTACCTATACCCAATAACCTTCGATTCCTTTACCTAACAAGAACCTACCCACCCCAAGATATTCAAATGTACGCACCTCCACTGCCTAAGGAAAAATCACAACCTTCAGAAGAATTTCCCCCACCCCTCTGCTCCAAAAGCATTAACTCTAATTTTAAAAAAAGAGAGAGTGCCTCCCTGGTTCTGGACTGATCCAGAAGAGTAAACATCCTTTCTGGATCCACCTTCAAGACCTTATACTCAAAATCGAGCCACTTCTCACTCTAGACTCTGCTGAATACAAACTTCGCCTATTCTTGAAGGGGGAATTCTAGTTACCTGGTAAACCTCCTCCGAAACAGTTCCAATGCATTTCCATCCTTCCTTAGAGGCCAAAACTATACACAGTCTGAGATGTGGTCTCACCAACGTGCTGTATAACTGAAGCCCAAGATCCTTTATTTTCAATTCCTTTTGCAATAAAAGGATAGCATCCTACTGGTATCCTTAAATCACTTGCTGTTCACCTGGAACCTTCTGTACCTCAATTTTGTAACATTAACCATATATTCTGCTTTTCAACTCTACCCAAAAAGAACTTCACATTTACTCACCAGTCAAGAGTGTGGGCAGTGTCACTTCCTAGCCATTTAAAATCAAAAGGTAATTTTTGAAGTGACAAACGGTCAGCTTTTTAACAGCTTTCTCACTCCCGTGACAGACATCAAGCTTAAGCAACTTGATTGTTCTGGTTTTGGGAATGATCACAACTTCAGTACACTACAGGAACATCAGCTGTAAAAGCATCATATCCTCCGCAGCCTCATGGGACTACACCTGCTCAATAAGCTTGACTTCACACTTGAAGGTCCTGCTGGTACACACAATGGGACTGATGGTAAAAACATGCATGTTGGCACTCTTGGTCATTTACTTGACTTGGTCATGGTTGTTGCATCCCAGTGGCAATTGAACCATGCTTGCAATATTCTTTGGCTTGCCACTGGTAATCTGTGAAGTGTGGTAGGATGAATGACTAAGTGGACTAATCATTTGAGCAAATCAAATTTTTGTTCACAGTAAAGTCTCTGTTTACCATCTTTGAGGTTGACAGAGTCACCACCCTGACAAGTACTCACTTCCGGATCACAGAGCAAGTCCATCATCGACACGAAGCTCAACTCGATTGAGAAATCTGCAGATACCCATTCATTTGAGTATACAGCTGAGACATTACAGGTCTCATTCCACTTGAACAGGTTTCTGCACCACAGATTGTCCAATGGACAGAATTTATTAGCACATTCCAGAAGCCCATTTTGTCAGATTCAAGCAGATGGAGCATGCTCCCCAAAAAAAGGGGAAAGCACAATAACAGCAGCAATAAACAAACTCAAAAAAAAACACATTTCAGATGTGTAGAAATCTGAAACAGAAAAATTGGAGAAACTCAAGTCTGGCAGCAAATTGCTGGAGAAACTCTCTCCACAGATTCTGCCAGACCTGTGGGAGTTTCTCCAGAAATTTGCTTTAGTTGCACCCAATAGAAATTAACAATAATTTTCAACAAGGAGAATCACAAAGTTGCGGTGAAGGCCTTTTCAGGGTACACAGGAGCTGAAGTCAAGTTAGCTGCAATCTTGTGGAATGGTGGTGCAGGCTCAAAAAAGGGCCAAGTGATCTAGTCCTGCACCTAGCTGCTATGTTTCTAAGTCTACACCAGTCAAATGTTGCGTTCCAACTCCACCTGAAGTGAATGAGCCTGCATGAAGTGATGTTTGCTGTTAACATTCATAAACTCACTCCAGTTATGCAGAGGTTGCAAATGTACTAACACTACTGGACAAAAGATGCAGAGGTGAATGGACAACTGCACAACAGCGTTTGGAACATTATCCCCAGTCCTGCATTTTGGCAGCGTACAATTGGACTCAAAACACTGAAGGAAGCAAATATCCAAACACTTGTATGTCACACCAAGTGATCTGAAATAGAACACTCAGAAACCATAAAATCTCTACAGTGTGAAAACAGGCCCTTTAGCTCAATAAGTCCACACCAACCCTCAGAGCATCCCACCTAGATCCATCCCCTCAATCTATACATCCCTGAACACAAAGCAATTTAGCCTGGCCAATCCACCTAACTTGCACACCTTTGGACTGTGGGAGGAAACTGGAGCACCCGGAGGAAACCCACGCCAGACATGGTGAGAATGTGCAAACTCCACACAGACAGTCGCCAGGAGGTGGAATCGAACCCGGGTCCCTGGTGCTGTGAGGCAGCAGTGCTAACCACTGAGCCCTTGTGCACGATTAGTGAGGAGAGACCAGATTATATCAACACGGACAATAGCACACGTACCCAAGTTGTTGCAAATGTTGCTGAACTTCATGCAGTGCGCATCCCTACTTCTGAACTCTATTAAAAGGGAAGGTCATTGATGGAAGTTGATTGGGCAGTGCCATGCAACAGTGGACTGTTCTCCTCAGGGCAACAGCAGGATTTCATTCCTACAAGGACTGTGCAGTGGTCAACCCACAAAATGGGATCAATTTTGAATAAAATCCGCCAATTGGAGACTGTGTCATCAGCAACAGGAAGAATGCATTCAACCACCATCTGAAAATCAGATGGTCCAACAGATTCTCCACTGTACTGTTACCATCATGCCTCGAGATCAACCCCAGTTCAAAGAAGAATGCAGAGTACTGGGGCAGCAACAGACATACTTAAACCGAGGTATCAGTCTGGTGAGATACACCAGAATACATGAATGAATCAGCAAAATCCCAAACAGAACTAATTGGATGCTACAAGGGGATGACACTAGCATGAACATGGATCACTGAATTAAAAAAAAAGTGAAGTGCTCATCTTCATCAATTTGAAAATTGGTCACCTACTGATAATGGATAGAGGCAAAATGCAAGTGCAGCTCCACATTCCAGCCCCTGCCTCCACAGGGTAAAACTACAGCCTCTCCATGTTTGAAAAGTTGAAGTGTAATATTTGCAAATGCAGGCAATTTCATGCGTAGTCTTCATTTGTTCCAACACAGATTATTGTAAAAATGCTTATTGTCTTTGCATTTATTGGTCTCATCTGGTAGTATTACGCTCCATCTAAAAAGTCAGCAGTTTAATTCCCAGAAGTTAACAGGAAACGTACATTTAGCTTCTTGCAATATTGAAATGACAACTTAGCCCGGAAATCAAGAATATAATCTTTAGACAAAGTTAAACAGTTGATATCAACTTTAGATAACTTCCCAACAGTTGTATTAAATATTGCATTGGAAGGCATCAGTGTTCATGACTGACAGTTGAGTTACTGCGCATTTAAACAGGTTTTAAAAAGACAATGTATGGTACACTAAGCATTTCAATCCCTTCAAACCAACTAGAAACCCATCACCCTGCCCACATCAGTCATTAAACATCAGCAAATGCGTGCACAGAACCTACAACTGAAGGAGAGCATGGAGGGGCAGAACTGTACAGTCTGGGAACACAGAATCACCTCTCAGCAAGTCAGAGTGAAAACTGGAATGGATAGGAACTTGTTAAAATAAAAAGTAACAAGGAATGTTAACACTAAAGTTTACAGCTCCACATTCTTGCTTTGTATGTTATTTCAGGCACCTTCAAAACCCCCACAAAACCAAAAGTTTCCAGACTTGGAATTATAATTTCTATTATATAATGAATAACAAACCCAGTGAACAAATTGCATGCAGTCACTTCCTCTAGGGGAAAAAAAAGTTACACTGGTGAGTGGATTATCAGAAGATCCCATACAAGTTTAAAATATTGCACAAAGTTTGCAATTGACTCATCCACAGGCATCAATGGATATGGTCCATTCTACCACAAAAAGTTACAGTAGCATTGCGAGTCATTTTCCCTATTTAAAAGTAGTTGATGAGCACCACAGGAACAGCATTAGAATTGCAAGTCCGGTTCAAAAATTGTGCAAGAAATCTGCAGCTTCATGGAACCTTGGAGAATCATAAACAACTGCAAAAAAGCTATTTAACATTCTGTCTTTTATAATCCAGTTTCACATTCTAGAAGGATCAGCAACTTACATCTCAAATCTTGCAGTCCTTGTACAAGCAAAAACAACCACACTCTTAATACTTTAAGTACTTAACACCAAGCAAAGTAAGCAAAAAAATACAATTGCACCTTTTCTTAAACTACCATATGGGCTATAATCAGCATTTCCAAAACACAACTGAACTAACATTAAGTTATAATACAGATTACAATTTTAATTGCACAAAAATCCTTGATGCATAAATATTCTTCATTACACCAGTACAAAAATACTTGTACTCAATATCATTCAAAATACTTTTAACAGGAACAGCTGATATTTGGCAAGACGGTTTTCTCCAGAAGAAACAAGTTAACAAGCCAAGGGCACTAAACAAAACAAAAAAGGCTGTGGCAACGTCAAAAGTAAACTGGTGGACATCCTGAAACGTCAGGCTGGAAGATCCCTCCAAAAATGGCAAAAAAAAAGACTCCAGTGATGAAAGCTTCCTCCCAAAAGAGCATCTCTAGCCAGGAACTGCTTAATTCTACTTTGCCAAACCATGCTCGCACCAGGTCTATAGAATAAAAAAGGGGACTGGGGCAAAAAAAAAACAAGGGTCAAACATGAAGACCCAAGGGGTGCGTTTGCAAAATAAAAAAGGTTAAAAAAAAAGAAAATACATTAGATATGGTGTGCCATTGCCAGTCATTGTACTTCACCAGTTCCATTAATGTCAACCTTTTAATTTTGTAGCTTCACAGCAGGGGTGCCATTTTTTTGTTGGTCCTTGCATCAGATGGATCAGACTGCCAGGTTATAGGTCCTCCCACATGGAAAAAAAACACATGTTCACCAGTCAAGTTCTTAAATCCACAGTCCTTAGTGACCACTCCACCCCCTCCAAGTTGAGTGGAAATGAGCCAGTTATCCAAAATCTCCTTCAGCAAACTCGAACCTGAAAACAAAAATCCACAGTCTGTCCTTGCACATCACTCCATGGAGAAATCTGAATTCTTGGATGAGGGCAGTCTGGAAAGAGGAAGGCACAAACCCGGTTTAAAACATTCAATAGCATGTTCAGCTCTGCAAAACATTTCAAAGGTAAATACTTACCCCTCAATTGTTTTATACATTTCTGGCAGTCTACAACATCACCACAAAATCAAAAAGTTGCAAGTGCATAGTCCCTGCATCATCTCAGACTTGGAAGTATAATTGCTATTCCTTTATTTAGGTGGATGGGTGGTGGTGGGGGGGTGGTGAAGGTCATCATCTCTGGTCATTGCAATCCAAAATCTCAGACTGACGTTCTGGAGAACTAGGTTCGAGACACACCATGGCAGATGGTGGGATTTGAATTCAATTAAAAAAATTCTGGAATTAAGAGCTAGCCTATGGATTATTCGCTCTTTAGTGAAGAAAAACTTGTCTGGCCTATATGAATTCCAGACCCACAGCAATGTGGTTGACTCTCAACTCCCCTTTAGGCAATTAGGGACGGACAATAAACGTTGACCTAGCTGGCAACACCCGCATCCTGTTAATAGATAATTATTTATGTCGAAAGATTGGAGAAGCTGGGGCTTGTCTTTCTCAGGAGACAGATGTCATCAGAAATGCCAAAGCAAAGCAATTTGCTCAAGTAAATAAGAGATTGTGTCAGGAAGGTCAGCGACCACAGATTTAAAGCAGTTGGCAGAACAAGAGTGAAATCTGGATTTTTAAATAAAAAAGTAAAAACAGAAATGTTAATGGTTACAATTCATTGCCCAAGAGTCTTTGAAGGAGACGCATTCAACTTTCAAAAGGGGGAACTGGATACAGAGAGAGATTTAGAGGGCTATTAGGAAAGGGACTAATTGAACAGCTTTTTCCAGCGAACCTATAGGGATATTACTGGATAAATGGTCTATGTATTATTAATTCATTATTATCTGAAAATAAGTGATGAATGTCTAGATAGCCTACTATTAGTGCAGCATGAAATTAATGCATTCCAGAGTACACAACATTGCACAAAACATGACTTGGACAAATTCCAGAAGTACTTGGTTGAGGGAATTATTTCCGGAACGTTTCATACACAACTGCTTTTTGTAATGTTGCAAGGAACATTTTTCTAGTTCCTAAAATCATTGAGATCAAATTTCCTTTTTCTTTAAAATCTATTGTTCCTGGGGAGGTAGGTGGGCCTGGCAAGGCCAGCATTTAATACCTATCCTGAATTGCCCTTGAACGTATGGGACTTGCTAGGCCATTCCAGAGGGTAGTTAATTCAAAGTTACACATGGAACATTGCTAAATGAAAGGCCTGCCTAGTGCGATCGAGACAAAAAAATTGCTTAGGCCACATTTGGAATACTGCATTCAGTTCTGGCTTCCCTGCTATAGGAAAGATGTTGTGGAACTTGAAAAGGTTCAGAAAAGATTTACAAGGACATTGCTGTAGTTGGAGGGCTTGAGCTACAGGGAGGGGTTGAATAGACTGAGACTATTTTCCCCTGGAGATTGGAGGCTGAGGAGTGACCTTATAGAGGTTAAAATAATCATGAGGGGCATGGATAGGGTAAATAGCCAAGGCTTTTGCCCGAGGATAGGGGAGTCCAAAATTAGAGGGCATAGGTTCGAGGTGGGGGGGGGGGGGGGGTTTTAAAAAAAGGGACCCAAGGGACAACTTTTTCAGAGGGGGATGGGTGTATGGAATGAGCTGCCACAGGAAGGAGGAGTTTGGTACAATTACAACATCCAAACAAAACAGTATCTGGATGGGTCCATGAATAGGAAGGGTGTTGAGGGATATGGGCCAAATGGGACTATATAAATTTGGATATCTGGTTGGCATGGAGGAGTTGGACCAAAAGGGATTTCTGTACTGTACATCTGAAAAAAAAAAAGTGGGCTTGATAGGTTCAACAGTGATTAAAGGTGACCAAAGATGCAACACACAGTTTGAGCTAGGATTGTCAACACTCAACAGGGAATTAAGATACTCCAAATGGATATCAACATTTCTACACCAACCTCAAATGTAAATTTGAGCAACTAGAAGGAGAAAAACGAAAAAAAAAAAAGGGGGGGGGGGAAGGCAAGAACAGTATAAGCAATGCAGACTGATGCAATTAACAGCCAAAAGGTACTTACTAAATACTTAACAAAACTGACGAGATTTCCATCCTTGCGGAGATGCTTCAGATGGAGGATACCAGCGCATCTGAAATGAAGGACAAAACAAAACAAAACATTGTAGTTGCAAGACAGATTTAGGGGTAGATGACTATTCCAGTAGCCAAAGGTCTCTTTTCAATGCACAAATTAAAAATGCCTTCTGCATTTCTGATGACATCATTCAGTAGCCATGTGAAGTCTCCCTTTCAGCTTCAGGTTGATCCAAAAAGCATTACCCCGATTTGGAACAGCAGGTAAGCTGTGGGTACCAGTGAGCTCCACTGCATGCTGGTGCTAAATTCATCAAGACAGACACTTGACCTGCAGAATGACAAGAGCCATCCTTGTGTGAAAAAAGGAAGTTTGCTGGTTTTGTAACCAATACTCAGCTTGGTTTGCTTTTCTGGCATCGTGGAGAACTTTACATAACAAAACAACCAAGCCTCCAGTGGTAATGTTAAATTATTGTCGAGAACATTGACTGCTAACATCACATACCTCAGGAGGTTATTGGTACATACAGGTAACAGATGCGGATTCTGATTTTGGGAGGCATTGGTAAGTCATTGGTTAAGTTAAAAAGAGTCACAATACATCCAACTACAAGCATTAGCTTGCTTTGGAACCAAGCTGATCAATGCATTCTGGATCAGTGTGCTTTTATAGCCTCTGCTGAAACAGTTGACATTTTATCCATCCCTATTACATTCGATCCACATTCAAAATTAACTAGCGATCTCTAAATTAGCACATAAATCATTAAACAGAACGTTCAGACATTGTAGCCAACTCTGCACTCAAGTTTTTTAAAATGCTAGAGGGGAGGCCGCAGAGGAGAATAATGCCTTAATATGCAATGGTTCTTCTTGAATTCAAGTCAATTCAAGCCATAAAAGTTGCCTGCTGATACTGTACGGCCAAGATCTGGTTTGCAGGACTGCTCTGCAGTACAAGCTCAGCAACAATGAATTATGGGCTTTAAAACTAAAAGGGACAGTGATTTCCTGTCCCAGGGACGAGTTGAAAGCAGCATGGGCTCACAGTACACCAAACTTGGCTAAGTATTTCAAACAAGTTGGACTCAAGCTGCCCACGAATATGCAACAGAGAGAAAAGAGTCATTTAATGCAATCCAAACTCCACAGTTATGCAGATTACACCACAAAACCCTTCACAAAAGAAAAAAACCAAGATGTTCTATTCTTGACACTTAGACAATCTCAAAATTTAGAAAGGGAAATCCAAAGGCACCACACGTTGGAAATTTGCTTGGTGCCATGCTTTAGACTCCCAAAGTAACAAAGCTGGGAGTCTGTGCTGCAGGAGCGCTCTACTTTGAACTTAGTCAAGAATATTCGCTCAGCGCCAGGTTAGGTCTCTTGCTCAATGTCAGCCCTCTAGCCACGTGACCTTCACATCAAGCGATTGGTGATGCACAATTCTGATGCTAGTCCCATTACACTACACCTTGGAGGTTCTGTATTGTGCAACGTTGGGTCATGTCAGCAGCAGTGATACACTTCACATTCACTGATATTGAGCAGAGGGGGTTCAAACCAAACATTAATCCAATGTTGCAGTGGTCAACAAAGGCCCTACTGCAACATTGATTTGAAACGGGTGGTTTGAACCCCTCTGCTCAAAGAGCCTGATGAAAATATGGGCAAACCTCTCATTCCAGAATTTAAAAACTTACAGAAGTATGGGGCTTCCGCTCAATTCATGAATATTTATGAATGACCATTTCATTTAAAATGGATGGCTTTAACATGAAATTTGATCAATCTTTCAAAAAAGGTCTGACAGTCAATGTCACAGATTTATCCTGACACCAAACAAAATTCTAAATGTAAAAGGAAAGTGGGGGTTGCAGGAACGGGACAAGAGGGAGAGAAACAATTTGATGCATTGAACATTGAAATGAATCAAATATTGGAAATCACTTTGCAAAGTTAACAGCACCCTATTTCAGGTTGTTGGTTGCAAAATGTGCTCTTCTACAAAATGAACTTGGATAAACCACACGGGAGGCTTATTTTCAAGCCAAAAAAGGACCAATTAACTTAGGCTTACAAATAAAAAAACAGCACATGTCTAGCTCTGTTTAGAATGGAACGGTGCAAGAACTGGAGGCTTCAGACAACAGAATTAGTTAGAAGGGCAAAGAAATCAAACTCCAATATCTACAGAGGTCATCTGCATTCGGGCCATAAAATGGCAGTGTTGTTAAACTTTTTTTTTTAAAAAACAAGGTGTCAAGCTTTGATGACCGGTGAACTTTTTACTTCAAACTCCCATATATTCTGGGTTCATATTTGACTGCAGTGTTGTTATACAGGCATCCACCATTGACTCTACAGTCATGGCTCCAAATTAACTCTCCATATTTACGGTTGTTGAAAAAGATCCAAACGGTCAAGCATTCAATATCAAAAGCACCAGAGGGGAGATGCAAACTCCATTCAAATCAGATTCTAGGAGACCAAAACTAGAGGGCATAGGTTTTAAGGTGAGGGGAACGATTTGAAAGGGACCAGAGGATCAACTTTTTCCACATAGAGGGTGGTGCATACATGGAACAAGCTGCCAGAGGAAGTGGTAGACAGAGGTGGGTACAATTACAACATCCAGAAGACATTGGGACAGGTACATGGATAGGCAAGTTTTAGAGGGATATGGGCCAAACACAGGCAAATGGGACTAGTTCAGTTCAGGAAACCCTGGTCAGCATGGACACAGTTGGGTTGAAGGGCCTGATTCAGTGCTGTCTCTCTCTAACACTGCCTGAAAAAAAGAGAGTGTGGTGAAAACCGATTTAAACAACTTTCTAAATGGCATTGCGTCTATTACTTGTTTAAAAAAAAGGCAATAATCATGAAAGGCCATGGGGAAGAGCCAGAGAATGGGTCTAATGAGTAGGTTACACAGCAGAGGGCTGATTGCCCAAACTGTCTCATTTCAATGCTTTATGACTTAAGTTTGCCTTCATTAGTTCAGTTTATTTTAACTACGTAATTACATTCCAAATTGCGGAAGTATTGTGGCTTTCAACATCTGAAAAATTCTCAAAATAAAAACTATTTAAATCAAGTCATTTCAAATGATGAGAACTGTATGTTGAGGTAATAGTTTTGTTTGGAAGCAAGGGGAAGAACAGGAAAATACTGAAGCCAGAGAGACAGAGACAATAAAACACAGCACTGGGATGTGAGCTGCCACTTTTGAGGGGAATTGTATCAGGAAGGAAACTGCTCTGGTTTCACCCAAATCAGAGGAAGCCATTGTCCCCGGTGGAATCTGCTTTCAGTAAGTCTGCTACGAGGCACAATGGAATAAAAAAAGTCACACATCCAAATCCACTAACGGCAAAGCTATACAGCATTGTAAATAGTGCAGATGGAGGCAGAAGACGATTGAGATACTGATCGAATGGCTGGGCAAAACTTGCAGCAAATAGATTCCATTGTAAGCAATGAGGGTTCAACTGTTTTGAACAGGGAGAAGATAGATCAGAATACTTTCTAAATGGTAGAAACAGATTCAAATCCAAAAGAAGATCCACATGCATACATTAAACAATGGACAGGTACAGAGAAAAAAAAAATGGGGGTGGGGGGGGGGGGGGGGGGGGGGGGGGAGGAGAGAAAAGCTAATGCAATGTTGGCTTTCATGTCTACAGGACTAGAATTCTAGGGATAAAATCATTTTTCATTAAGGCAAAGTCCTCATTAGGCCATATTTTGAATACAGGGTGTAGTTTTTGTTAAGGAATAGACCAAGGAGATAGCCTAGACCCTAACTTTTATCATATTTAAGGCGGCAAGTGTAAGGTGCTGAGTTCCACGAGTGATTCGATTAGTCTAACTACCAGGCTTTAAGCAAAACACACTATCCTTGACTCTCAGTTAAAATATAAACAATATTGGCACAACTTTAACTCTATTCAAATACTTATTTAACTACTACTTATCAATTGTTCCAATATAGCAACAGTCCATAAACACAGCCTTAGCAAAGGCAAATTCAGCAAAAGTTATCTTCATTTGCTATCTCCTCCTAGGAGAAGGGAAAACCTGAAAGAATGAATCTAGCAGCTTCAACTCCAAAACGCCCAACTAAAAGTCTAACTAAAACTCTGGGTCTCAGAGCCTGACTCCACTCACTCTCACTTGTCTAATTTAAAGAAAAACTCAAAACCATATACTCTGCTTTCCATGGAGCAGACACCTTGGCACCAGGTTGACAAGACCCTTTAAGAGAAACAGGACAGAACTCCCTCGAAGGCACATATCACCACATCTTGGATACTACATCTCAGCAAGAATGCACTGGAGTTGGATGAAATGCTGTGTCGACTTAGCAGAACCATCCTTGGTTCGGAGGTAAAACAGGAACATTTACTTAAACTAGCCTTCACAGGCATGTAAAAGGTTAAGGAGCAATGTGAGTGAGATATTAAAAAAGGGGAACTTAATGCAGTATCTAGAAGCAAAATACTTCAGACAATTTCACACACACACTGTCTACAACTCAGACAACCTTAAAATAACCAGCACAACTTTCAGGAATGGGCTAGCCCGATATCTCACTAAACCTTTCTTCTCCTCTTACCTGTCCAAATGTCTTAAAATGTTGTAATGGTACCCATCTCTAAGACTTCCGCTGGCAGTTCATTCCCTATACACATCACCCTCTGCATGAAAAAGTTGCCCCTTGGATCCCTTTTAATTCTCTCCCCTCTCACCTTAAACCTATGCCTTCTTGTTTTGGACTCCCATACCCTGAGAATAGACTTTGTCATTCACTTCACCTGTGCCCATCATGATTTTGTAAACCTCTGTAAGGTCACCCCTCAGCCCCCTATGCTCTACGGAAAAAAGTCTCAGCTTATCCTTAACTCAACTTCCAGTCTCTAACATTCTTTAAATCTTTTTGCACCCTTTCCAGGTTAGTAACATTTCTACAGCAGGGGGGCAACCAGAATTGTATGCAGAGCTCCAAATACAGCCTTACCAATACAGCTGTAACAAGACAGCCCAACCCCTA